CGCACAGGGCAGCAAGGTTTTCCCAAATTTGAGCAATTGTCTAGGAGGCATTTACAAATGATTTGAGCTAATAACAGGTTTGGTACTTATTTTGGAGCAGTTTTTCAAGTAATATTTTTCCTTTGCGGTATAACTCAGAATCACTTTAAATTGCGGTTTTGGAAACGTGGATATAGTGCTCTTTTCAAGGAAACTAAAGAACGTTTGGGCCTCTTAACTACTGCAAAAGAAAAAGCCCGTGTCATTTCGAAAATACGATGGTTCCAGAAAGTGCCTTGGCAACATTTAGTGATTGCGTGATTTGATAAATCCTGCTCGGCGAAGATGGCCATTTGAAACGAAAATAGGCATAAAACCAACCTTCAACCACTGGCTATGCAAGGTAATCTCGTTACACTATGTCGCTGGTCTAGTATGGTGTAAAGCAATAACTTTTCGTCGAATTTTGGCTTCAACAACAGCAAGCGTAATTCGATTATTTTGCGGTTGTTGACAAGTCGATGTTGTGATTTCCTCGAAATGACCGCGAGCTTTTTTCTTTGCAGTAGTTAAGAGGCCCAAACGTTTTTTAGTTTCCTTAAAAAGAGCACTATATCCACGTTTCCAAAACCGCAATTGAAAGCGATTCTGAATTATACCGCGTAGGAAAATATTTCTTGAAAAACTGCTCCAAAATGCAATTTTTAAATAATGAAATATGAGCGATTTTCAAACACTCACCGTTAATTCAGAAATGTAACTACAAAACCTGTTCTTAGCTGAAATCATTTGTTAATGCATGCCTCCTATACAATTGTTCAAATTTGGGAAAGCCTTGCTTCCCTGTGCGCTTTAACGAGAACCTGTATTGTGCTCATATTCGGCGCTTTTATTTCGGCTATTTCATGGCGATGGGGGGCCGTTAGAGTTTTTGAGATTTTCTAGAAATGAAAAATAGATTTGAGCAAAAAAAAATGCCACCACGATTATTGACTCAGCATGGGCTATCTTTGAGCTGAACATGAGGTTAGGGACATTTTCCATCATGTGCCACCTCTTACTTGCGATCCGGGAAAAAAGGCTCTCTTAATAGTTTTGGGCAAAAACAGCAAAATCACCGTGACATTGCTCCTTTAAATATATCTTGTTTTAACATTGATCAATATCAAGAAGGTCTTACCTTATGGTCTAGTCTCTTTGTTTCAGAATGTTAGACAACACTGAAGTTGCTTGTAAAACGACTGATGATGAGCGAGCGATGCAAGCTTGGACTGCTCAAAGTGAGACGAATATTGCGGCTGCAACTTTTTTAATGACTTCACGGCATTGTTTATTGTTCATTGTTCGTTTAAGAAGGTGTGCCAGACACCGTGATATCAAATCACCTTCAATGGAAATTCAACATTTATATACTTTCATTATACTGATTCAGTCGCTCTGCAAAAAAAAATTCCTTGAGTTGTAGTCCTTGCTGTTTTAGCGGCGATCAAGGTATAAATCGAACATTCTTCATTTGCCGCAAATGGGTGACTAGAGTGGCTATCGGTCAACCCGGGGTAGACTGTGTTATCGGACAATGCTGGCATTGTAGTCGTGTCTCATGTTTACAATTTCTCACCGTCTCACTAAATAAATGTGTGGGAGAGAAAACATGTTTCGGACAGGCGGTATGTTATTCCTTGAGATCCCTGAGGCTCGCAGCTTAAACCAAAACTCTGACCAAAACTATCGCGTCTATCTTTTTGGCGGGGTCGAGGTTAAACGTTTTCGCATACAAATTACCAATAACCGAAAAAAGGGTTTTTGTAACATCGAGGAGAGTGGAATGTAAAGGCCCAGGTGTGAGGATAATTGTATTTTCTAGTAAATCCCATTACATGTCCTGCAACCTTTGAATTCGGGATAATATTTCTCAGTGTGATCTGTGACCGGATCAGGTTATAGGGTTAACTATCACGTGAGTTCACATGCAGCAATGGGAAAAATACAGTAAAACGAGGCGCATTTGTCGCTTCTGCAAAACATAATGTTGTCTTCGCCTGACTGTTAAAGAGTGTTAGTACAGTTTCAGTTTTTAAAGTGTACAGCGTCCCTGTGATTTTGACCTCTCTCACGACCGTTGGGGGCCTTGGGCCGAGGTCAAAATACTCTCTACGTAGGGTGGTAGAGGCGATTTATGTTCAGTCCTTACCCCATCCCCACTAAAAGCGTATCAAATAGCTCCTTTGTTTCGATAAACCAATAAAGGTGCAAGGTAAAAAAAATGTTTCTCGATTATCACACCTTTTAAGTTTCTTCATTTAGACAATACATACATGCTAATTGACGTTTCAAGTTTCAGTTAGCAACGAGGCAAAGTGATACATTTTAAACTAAGTTCTCTTGCGGATCGATCGACAAATAGTCGGCGTGATAGGTCAAGATAAGTGCTGTTTCGAGCTGTTACACTAATCGTCTATCGGATCTTAAGAGTTACTTCATAGCGGTAAGTTATCAAACTGTTAGTATTTCATGGTTTGCCACACATTTATTTTCTCCTAAACTTTACTTTTGAGTTCTCTTCTTTATAATTATTGTTTACTTCTTTTCAGAACGTTTCAGCAGTATCGGAAGAACCGTAAAATTACAGTAACCCATGCCAGAAGTAAAGCAAACAGAATAAGGTATAGTCTGCGAATACACTGAGTCGCCTCTTTGATTTTTTATTCTTTAACTTTAAAGTACAGTATATTTCTCGTAGTTACGCTCTCTTTTCGACTTAAAGATTCCAACATGAAACTTTGAAAACAAACGAGATGAGCTCATTTTATTCCAAACGTTGTTATTTATCATGTTTTCGCAGTATGGTTTTACTGGATTTTGGGGAAATGTTTGGCCGCGCACTTTAATAAGTTTGTTTTAAAATAATGAAGTAACTTGACAAAGATATTTTGAAACGATTAGTTTAGAAAAGAAACTGTTCTGCCGCTTGGGTGGGCAACTATTCGCGATTTCCCCACTATCTGAGCGCCTGGAACAGGCTATTGTTAACTTGATACATATATACACATGCGATTTGCATCGCGGCGATTCGATGCAATTTTTGTCGCGCTCAAGTCGCATCCTCAAATCGTGATGCAAATTTGCGGCGATTTTTCATAAAAAGTAACAAAAAATTACGTATCAGGGGACCCACGGGAGGTTTGGTTTACGCCGGGTTACAAACAGGGATAATTACTCGGTAAAAAAACGTTCAAAAGTATCCAAAACCTGGACTTACAATAATACGATTTAATATAATGTGATTTATAAGAAATGTTATAAAATTTCAAGCCACAGTAAGGTAAAAGTGTGATTGAATGCCAAAAACGTAAGCTTATTGTGTTTACAACCTCTTAAATAACGACAATAATAGTATTTCTTCGTTACAGGCAGGATGGATGTTCTTTTAAGAAAATCACACTGCATTCTACTTCTATGCATGGTGGTGATATTCTTATCAAGGGTAACTAATGGTAATCCGTTATCCCCAACCTGGTAAAAGCCATAGCAAAAATGATAGAGCGATACGAGAAAGGAGAGCTAACAACAGCAACCGTCATTCATTACCATCATGAAATTGGGGACCAAGCCATTAGAAACCCTGTTTCTTCCTGGGGTCATTATCTGGGATCCGTTATTTCAGCATTTTCGTGAAACTTACCTTGTCCAGAGTGTGGTGAAGATCTGAAACCTAGATGCTGGAAAGATGGAAAGGATTGGAAACACAACAGTCCTAGGCAGCTTGCAGATATAGAATGCCCTGTTCTGCTGGTAAGTAGGGTATATGCATGCAAAAATGATCATCGGACAATCGGTCATGACCCTAAAATTCTGAAAAAAAAAGTTTGGACAGGTAGAACTGATCCCTTTCCTTCTTTTGCACAAAAATGGGATTACTCGACGTTTATACAGATTAATAATCGTTCATGCTGCGTCAGGAATGAGGTACATGGACGTGGAAGCACTTTTAGCACAGATGTGGCATAGTTATCACGCCGAGGCAAGCATTAGGACCTTAACACTGTTACGTGTGAGAATTTCAGAGGATAGACCATCAATCAACGTGAGTCACCGACAATGCCGCCGATTTCACAGTTAAACCCTAACAGAAAACTGATTCGCCAATGCTTTGTTCATGACTATTGCACGAAAGAAAAACTTTACAATGCACGCATGTCATCGTTCACAGGTGGTTGGCTCTCTTCTGACCACACATTCAAGGTCGCTGGGAATGTCGGATTATGGCAAAATGGCCATTGGATTCGCCAGTTCGACTCTTTGTTTTCTGTCATGAATGAGGATGGAATTGTCATCGGCGTGGCAATGCTGAGAGGCACTGGTTTTGCCAGGGGTGAAGACCCTACTCATGGGAATTCGAACAGGCTACAAAATAAGCGGAGTTACCTTGCAGGGATTTTCCATTGACAACTGCTGCGCCTGGAGATTACTCCTTCAAGCAGTATTTGGAGTTATTCAATTAAACTTGATCTCTTTCATGCAGTGCAACGCATCGCTAGTAAAATTAAAAAAAACACCCATTAAGAAGACAATGCCTTGATGCATTTCGTTTAGTCTTTCGGAAGTCGGGCGATATCGAAAAAGAACGTGAAGCCAACGCCTTCTCGATGATGTTGACAAATTTAAATAGGTTTCTGGAAAATTGGGAAAATGTTGAACTTGCAGGGGAAAAGGTACTTTCACAGCATGTCCACAACCAATTGGACAAGTTAAGAAAACATATTAAGAAAGGTTGCTTGGAAGATATTCCTCCTAAAAGCAGGAACAAGCAGACAGGAAGCAATGCACAAAAGCCTCCGAAAAAGTGTAGAAAAAAGGAGAGTTGGCGTTAAAGTAGCTGTGGCAAGCATAGGAACGTGCCTATACAGATGGAGCGAAAGGCGGTTGTCGGACAAGGTTGGATCGTGCCATTCACAAGTTCGGTCCCAGTCACCCACTACCAGGACTTGTCAGTCAGTCAGGAAGAAGTATTTGGTACTGGAATGATTCAAAATGGAAGCGGTTTTAGCGATGATGACTCGGAAGATGGCACTGGCGTCGATGCCTGTGAAAATGAGTCAACGGGTAGCAGTAGTGAGGACGGGGACTATGGGATTGATGACAACGATAATGTGAGGATCAGCGAGGAAGACGCGTATCATCGACTTTTAGAGTATGCCCTGTACATGAAGAGCCTGGCTCACGATTTGCAAGCGAAATGCGATGCACCCACGATGAAAGTTAATCTGACACAGTTCGTAGGGCGCAGCCTTCTATTATTCTCGCCGCGTGCAAGTTCCTCCAGACCAGGCGCAGGGAAAATGCAGGGAGAGGTTAACCAGCATTTTAAATGCATTTGGCTTTGAACAGTTGTCGATGCCAGGGGATGGAGACTGTTTTCTACATTGCATCTCTTTCAGTTTGAGCTCTCTTCTTACTAGAGATAACTCCAACAGCCACTTACTTGAAATCAATCGGTATCAGCATAGAGATACCTGACAAGGACAAAATCAACGTTCTTAGGCGGTTGATTGTGCAAGAATTTATGGGGCCTAATCGGCATGTTTACGAGCCATTTCTGATAACAAGCACCACTGATTCATATGACGCAAAGCTCAAAAGTTCCTTGAGTCGGGCCATTATGATTCTGAATTAGGAAACTGTGTTCCACTGGCGATGAGCAATATCCTTCAAGTACCCTGGTTATTTTTACCTCCATGGAAAATTATCCCATCACTCACGTAATTCCCAGAACACGAGTGCTATCTGAAGTTCGATATACCTTGCTTTTAGTCATAGTGATAGCGGCCACTACGACTTGGCAGTTGAAGGCAATCGCACAGAGTCGAATTCAACTGTAACTGAAACAACCGGCAAGGAGCCAGACACACAAATGCCAGTTGAGGTAGATCTCCCACTCAAAATCAAGCGGGATGTTCGTGTGGTCGCGGAGCCGCCAGGAAGACAGCGAAAAGTGAATTCTGCAAACACTATAAATCACGCTGTCCGTGTTTTGGGTGCCTTCTTGGCTGCAATGTTAACTGTTCCTGTCGTTCGTGCGTGAATCCGTTTGGTCGCAAAGCTAATGAAAAAGGCATCTTTGATCCGCCACCACGAAAGCGACAAAAACAAGACCTTCAACAAGGCGTCAAGCAAACAGACAAAGGCTATATGGAAACGAAAAGCGGAAGAGCCCATTGCTACAACTTGGTTGGAAGGCGAACTGTACGTCATTGAAGCACTGATCTTGTACTTGTTAGTTACAAGCCAAGATATCCTCCGAACAGAATCTTTGCAGACTATCACAAGATAGTAGAATTCTGCTCTGCCGAAGATATAAGTTTTCAACGTGTATTTTCTCTCGTCAGTAAATCCGCGTCAGCAATAACCAAGAAACTACAAGACATAAAGAACAAATTAAAAGTTGACGAGGAATTCTTCAAAAAGCAAATCCAGTACAACTGGTTTTTGACTAAATCGTATTTGCGCTAAGAGATAACAGAATGATGTATTTTACTTGACAGGCAATCTCGTACTCAAGGCCTCATTCCCATTGGTCATTGAAATAAGTTTTTCTGAGTTTTTCAGCCATTGCTGGATTTCACGGCGCACCAATTCCTGCTGCACGGAAGCAGTTTAAAAATGAGAGCCAATCAAATGTGGACAAACTTGTTTGGTATTCTGGCTGATTCCTGATTAAAGAAAACATGGAATAGAGCGGTGATGGTGTTACGTTGGGACCTATTCCGTTCAGTTCTCGGTTTAAAAGAATACTGTTTACCCGAAATAAGGAAAATAGTGTCAAAATTTTATATTATTTTTTATTAAAATAGTCATAAATTCTTGTTTTCTTGGTGCAGAAAAAGAAAAAAAAAGCGACTCTTGGAACGAAATCATTACTTTAGACTGTACTGTATTACTACGAGAAGATATTTTGCTAAAAACGCGACTTAGTTATAATTGTTAATGTTTTAATGTTGGCGATGCGGTGTTTATTTTATTCAGGATTGGATAGCGTGAGATTACAAACATGCTTATATAAAGAGTAAAAATGCACTGCGTGTTAAGACTAATTCATAGAGTACATTCTGAAAAGAGAATCGAACTATTCTGAAATTTATCTGGATAATCAATAATACAAGAGAAATGTCAAAAATTCACACTCATATTTGAAATGAATGCTTTTGAAATTGATTACTTTATCTAATAATGTCCAAGGATAATTATACTTGCATATTTTTGAAGCCAAATAAATTAAAGTTTATTGTGCTTCAATCCTTCAAACATTTTCGCTTAAAGTCTTGCTGTTTGTGAAAGTTACATAATGGCCTTTTTATGGCTTTTAGTCTTTTCACGAAGCCGATAGAAATCGTAATGTTTCTTGCTTTTACTTTTAACTGAGGTAATATTTTAGCTTTTCGTCATGAACAAAAAGTTAAATTCTAAAATCAACTTTTGCAAACATGTCACAAAACCAAGCGAAGGCATAACCACCTTATTTTCAATCTTGTCACGAAAAAGCTTATCGCGGTCAAAATATTTTGTACGTGGGATATTGACGTTTTAGTGTGTTTCGGCTGTTAAGACAGCAAAACGTTCTTACACCCAACGAAGCGAATCTTGTTTGAACACTGGGGATTTCCCAAATTTTAATTGGGGCATATAGGACTCTATAGTGCGGCGTATTTTGACCATTCGAACATAGCGAAAATATTTGAGGGATTATAAAGAGGAATAACGCCGTATTAAAATGATAGTAATAAGTTTTAAATAATAAGTTTATTTAATGCATCTTAAGAATAAAAATACAAAAATATTCCGCTCGTTAAAGTTGTACACTTTAAATCGCGTTTGTTAGCCGCATTTCCTACTTTTCCTACTGTACCTCTATTACTTCTATTCCTCTGTTCCTCTGTTCTTACTGTTCCTACTTAATTCCTACTGTTCCTCTGTTCCTACTGTTCCTCTGATCCTACTGTTCCTCTGTTCCTACTGTTCCTCTGTTCCTCTGTTCCTACTGTTCCTACTGTTCCTACTGTTCCTCTCTTCCTACTTAATTCCTACTGTTCCTACTGTTCCTCCGTTCCTCCTGTTCCTACTGTTCCTACTGTTCCTACTGTTCCTACTGTTCCTCCGTTCCTACTGTTCCTCTGTTCCTACTGTTCTTACTGTTCCTCTGTTCCTACTGTTCCTACTGTTCCTCTGTTCCTACTGTTCCTACTGTTCCTACTGTTCCTACTGTTCCTCTGTTCCTCTGTTCCTACTGTTCCTCTGTTCCTCTGTTCCTCTGTTCCTCCTGTTCCTCTGTTCCTACTGTTCCTCCGTTCCTACTGTTCCTACTGTTCCTCTGTTCCTACTGTTCCTACTGTTCCTCTGTTCCTACTGTTCCTACTGTTCCTACTGTTCCTCTGTTCCTACTGTTCCTACTGTTCCTACTGTTCCTACTGTTCCTCTGTTCCTCTGTTCCTACTGTTCCTCTGTTCCTCTGTTCCTCTGTTCCTACTGTTCCTCTGTTCCTACTGTTCCTCCGTTCCTACTGTTCCTACTGTTCCTCTGTTCCTACTGTTCCTACTGTTCCTACTGTTCCTACTGTTCCTACTGTTCCTACTGTTCCTCTGTTCCTCTGTTCCTACTGTTCCTCTGTTCCTCTGTTCCTCTGTTCCTACTGTTCCTCTGTTCCTACTGTTCCTCCGTTCCTACTGTTCCTACTGTTCCTCTGTTCCTACTGTTCCTACTGTTCCTACTGTTCCTACTGTTCCTCTCTTCCTACTTAATTCCTACTGTTCCTACTGTTCCTCCGTTCCTACTGTTCCTACTGTTCCTACTGTTCCTACTGTTCCTACTGTTCCTCCGTTCCTACTGTTCCTCTGTTCCTACTGTTCTTACTGTTCCTCTGTTCCTACTGTTCCTACTGTTCCTCTGTTCCTACTGTTCCTACTGTTCCTACTGTTCCTACTGTTCCTCTGTTCCTCTGTTCCTACTGTTCCTCTGTTCCTCTGTTCCTCTGTTCCTACTGTTCCTCTGTTCCTACTGTTCCTCCGTTCCTACTGTTCCTACTGTTCCTCTGTTCCTACTGTTCCTACTGTTCCTACTGTTCCTACTGTTCCTCTGTTCCTACTGTTCCTACTGTTCCTCTGTTCTTACTGTTCCTCCGTTCCTACTGTTCCTACTGTTCCTCTGTTCCTACTGTTCCTACTGTTCCTACTGTTCCTTTTGCTACTAGCCATTTGCTATTACGTTATTAATGACGTCAGTCAGGTCGTCGTACACGAGCCATGAGCCATGATTTCTTCTTACTTACTTTTTATGACGAACTTGCTCTATTGAGACTACATGCCCTGTAGTGAAGAGTTTGGTTGTTGATTTTGCAACAGAACACTGTTACGAGATAGCTAAAAGCATGACTGTTCCCAGCCAGGAGCCTATGATAACATGCATTTGGTACATGTAGAATGTGAAGAGAAAAAAGCACACCGTCCCATTGGCTGAGACAAAAGAAGGTTAATGTGAATATCAACATCCAAAATCTCCTCTTTAACCTTTTCACCCTCACAGTATAATTATGATGGAGTCTTGTAGGGTCTTCTACATTTTGAGTCTGTGCACAAACTCCTGCGGTACTTAATAAGACATGGGAAGGGGTAAGAACTCCCAACAATTTTACAGAACAATTTTTTTGTCAGGTTCAAATCAAATTCAAAGTTGCATCTCCATTACCTTTCATAAAATCACTTACATGGCAAAATGAAAGTTACTTTAATCTGTAATACACAATTTGCAACCGGTGAAAAACCATTAAGCAACTCCTAATAACAAGATTCTACTCTTTTTTCTGCATAATAATAATATTTCCGTTTGCAATCATTACTTAAGTACCTACAACAATGCAATTCTCCACTTTACAACAGTGTGGGTTTTACAAATTATGATGACAACATTTCATACCTTAAATCTGGAAAGCTCTCAAAGAGCTTTGCCTTAAAGTTCTCTTTTATTTTTGCCTGTCCCTTTTCCACCACATTGATAAGGTTCTTGGGAATCTTTCCTTCTGTGCTTCCCTTCTTATCGACTGGGTAGCATTCCACTTCCTTGCGGCCGCTGTTTGTGAAAAATCCTTTTTGGAGACAAAACCATGCTCCCTTAAGCTGATCAGGAAAGGCTGTTTGCTCAGAGTGTCGTGATGTATGATGCACATCGAATCCATCTTTACCCATGTAGGAAGCTCTCACCATTTTCAACATGTCAATGTTCGCCATCAGTCTTTCACACATGGTCACAGTTGTGTGTCCACTAGCATATTTCTTTAGGGGCTGCACAACTTCCGATTCTACAAAACCATCAAGCTCAATACCATGTCCTTTTTTCCCACTAAGGTTGACAGAACAGTTCTGCTGCAATAACCTTCTTGTTGCAAGTGGCCATTTTGCAAGAAAATTGACAACATGACGGAAAACTTCTGTGTAATAATTTCTAAATCCAAGTTGCGCATAAATTGGTAATTGTGCTTGGTACACAACTTCACGTGCATAGCCATCTCCGTATGCAGTAGATGCATCATACAATTTCTGAATTGGACCATAAACAAGAAATGTGGTTGACCGGTGCTCGAAAGAAACATCATTTTCAGATGATTCTGAAATCCAGTCCTTAAATTTGTCCAAAAGCAACGTACTCACATCCGCAGCACCCCGCAATTCCTGCTGAACTGGAAATGACTCATTCACTGAAAATTCCAAAGCTGCAGCAATACCATAGGCCTTGCAGACATCACGGATTGCCTCCCTTACTTGGATGAGGTTATTCTCCTGAAATTTCTTGTTCTTAAATACTTCAGAGGTCAATTTCTTTCTTTTCATAACCTCTAGCAGGATGTAATGAAGACCCGATGACCCATGGACTTTGAATGCTGCTTCACAAAAGTAGCCTTTATTGTGAAGGTCACCAGGACAAAGACCAACCCATTTGTAGGAACCTGACCTGGACATAGCAGCACTGTTTGTCTTGCAAGTTCCTACATCCCCAACGACAGGCGTGACAAATCCATGACAAGAACGATTAACCTCTGTTTGAGTGTCAACACTGTCCCCTGCATTAATGCCACCTTTAGAAAATGTGCTGTCAATCAGACGGATCAATTCATTTTCCTCTTCTGACTCATCCTGATCCTCAGAAAATATCTGCAAAATTTCAGCATGCTGCAGCCTTTCAGCCATGCACAATGGAGAGGGAATACTTGTGAACAACGGACCAGAATATCTTGCTCCTGATTCCACTAGGAATTTACAAATGGCTGTATTCTTGTGTAACACTGCAAGACTCAAGGGAGTAATGCCACATCCCTCTCTGCTATTCACTTCAAGACCCATGTCAACCAAACATTTAGCAAAACTATCATGACCCTGTTCTACAGTGACATGAAGGAGAGATCGTTTTAAGTGGTCTTTTACATTTACCTTTAGTTGATGCTCAGGGCTGTTAACAAAGGCCAGGTAGCTCTCCTCACTGTTTGATGCAATTGTGTCAGACAGCTTAGAAGATATACAGTTAAAGACCTCCCAGAAAGGTTTGTCCTCTGTTTCAAACCGCCGACGCTCACCCTCAAGAGTTGTCGCGGAACTTTCTGTTGAATCTTGTTCAGTTTCCCCTGGACACTCCTCTTCAGTCTCCAACTCTTCATCAGTAGCCCCATCAATTTCTCTTTCTCGGCTCCGCAACTGCCTGTCCAACTCGCCCATATTACTTTGATGGTTGTGCTGACTAATAAGCAATTCAAAGTGAGATCTAGCTGAGTGAACATCAAATGTACCTGACACAGAATCAAATGGTAGGTACTCTGGACCCTTCTTTTCATTCGGTAATGAAAAATCTATTGCAAGTTGATCAAGAATACTCATTGTTCCAACAATTGTGCTGTTATCTTCAAGAGATAAAGGTAAAACATGGACATTACTCTTTGTAACTGGACTTCTACAAGTAACAAGGTCAGTATCCTTTGGGACTTTGATCTTGTATCTCCCTTGAGTATTCCAGTCAGCATTTGAAATGAAAGAATTGAGTTCTGATTCAGTCATGTCCTTAAGCTTTTTTCTGCTTGGTGGCAATTTGTTCAATGCATCATCAAGAACTTCCAGCAAAAAAGCATCAACAGCACTTTCCAAAACATCTGTTTTTGCTTGATCACTCTGGATAAAGATGTCACTGGGATTTAAAAGAAGCACATTCCTCTGAGGTTTGACTGAGGCATCTTTGTCTTGGAGGATGTTTTCTAAACCCTCTACATTTGGAATCAGTACAGCTTGACCTGTAAAGTTCCACATCACAGGGCCAATGTACTTAAATAGCCGCAAGTGTTTGTGCTTTCCTCTGTACATGTTGATATTATCAAACATTAAGATTACTGGAGAATCTGTGGGGGTTTGTTTAGAAATTTCTTCTTGTTTTTTAGCTTTGCGGCCGTCAAAAAACTTCATTGCCTTCTCCCAGCTAACAGTTAAACCAAGATGATTCAGCATTCCAATAAATCGCATACCAGCTCCAAAGGATATACACAGACAAGTAAACAAGACTTTAAAATCATTTTGAATTTTCTGACTTTTCAAGCTGACCAATATAGCTAGAGAATGAACAGCACTTCGTACTCGCATCTCTGACACCTCCCTTCCATCAGTTTTGTGAAGTACCAGGGTGTCCAAAACATTAAAAAGGAGGGGGCACTGCTCCCTTGTATTCACAGGTAGTGTGCTAAATACTCCACTCACATCAACTTCTGACAAATCCTGTGTCTCAAGTCCAATGTTGAGAAAGCTGATAAAAGTGTCCATTTCCTTAATGAGTTCAGCTCTGTCATTTGCACAAAGCACATCACATTGAGACTGGCTTTGTAAGAGTCTCTGAACTTCCCTTTCATACAGATGTTCCAAGGTACCCGAAAGTTCTTGAATCCTACTCTGCAACTTGCATTGCATATCAACCAAAGCACGCACAACATCTCTTTGAATATTTTCAGCTGTTAACTGAATGTTTAAGCGCTGAATAATGGACTCAATTTCTGTCGAAGCATTTGCAATCAGCCGTTTAATATTTGCGATATCGGACGTCTCATCCAATGACAAAGATGGCTCTTCCACTGACAATGTAAACGATTTTTTTTTGGCCACATTCTTGTACACTGTCACCTTTTGCTTTCCGTCAGACTTACGGGTACGAGCAACCAGGCAGTTAGGAAAGGCTTCCTTCATAGCATTTGTGGCTTGGACCTTCTGTGTTTGATCCAAGTGCAGCACTTCTAAAACTGCCTGTTGAGATATTTCAGTTCCTTCTGCTTCCCAGAAGTGTTCTTTAAGTGCACTGACAAATGCTGCCCTTCGCGTTTTGTAAAAAGTACTTGAAGGCTTTGATATAGCTTGTGTTTGAGGCTTTTGTAACCCTATCAGAGTAATTCAAGCAAAACACTATAAACAAAAAATCTTCATGTTGATACATGGTACTTAAAGGAATTAGTATTACATATTATATGGAAAACAAAATGCCAACCTAGCCTACGAGGATGCTACTTGTGAGAAAGGATAAAGAGGATTCAAAATGTTTTTACATAGACTTTACAAACTTGAATGACAAAAACATTGACAACAAACTTCCTCACACCTCAAGAGTTTTTCTTCCCTTCATCTAAGAGTGTTGCCTATTAATCTCACAGCAAGAGAGTAATTCACACTTTTCTCAGTGTTGCTGGAAGATAGTGTTTGTTTGAAGTTGTAACATAAAGACAAAGCAAAAGATAAAGAAACTGCCAATTATAAAACCTTAAGGTTTTGAAATTGTTATAATAAAGAGAGGAGCAAATCACTGAAGTGAAACAGACAATATTATTATTCACACATGTAATTCTGATCTTAAGACCAAGGTCAATAATAATTTTTTGTAACATTAAAACCAGAGAAGGTTAGACATTGTGATAAAATGATCATGAAATCAAAAAGAAATGTAAAGTAATGACCACACAGCACTTGCAAACTGCTTGTAATTAATAAATTATAGTTTCTCACACATTACTCTTTACGATTTGTAAAATAGACAAGCTGAATATTGACCACAGAAAATAACAAAGTCGGAAAGCTATAAGTAATGAAAAAATAACAAGAAAGTTTATGTCTACTTCTTTATCTAGAGAAAAAAATTAATTCGAAATTACCTGCACTTCCCAATTCATCTTCTTCCTCTTCTTCGACTGAGCTTTGATGCCTCTTGCTCCTCGGCTCAACTGCAGACTTAAAACTTGGGGTAAGTGAATGCTTCCCTGCAGGCTCACTGGCTCCCCTTTTAACAGGCATACTAGTAATTGGGTGGAAATCGACCTCATCTGTCAATTGAGCATCTAGAGAAGGAACATAAGACGTAAGTCAGAGATGAGAGAACCGCAATCAAAATGAGCAAAAATCCAAGATGGCGGACAACAGTCAAAAACAGCAAACAACGAAAAAATATCTAAATCAGTGACCCATCTGCATCAAACTGCGTCTACTAACCTTCTAGACTCAGATCTTTAAAAGAACACTCAAAATCCGCTAAATCTTCGCCTGCTTCCGCCATTGTCAGAGAACCGCAAATCTGGCCAGAGAACCGCACATTATATGGCAGAGGCCTCTCTTCTCTCTTCCCCCTTCCCATCGTGCCCCGCGCGCTCTCTTTTTCTTTCTCCCCAGCCTCCCCACAATACAAAGAGGCCTCTGCGGAGGAGAGAGTACAAGGCCCTAAAGCTTTTTGCTGACTCGCAAGGACCCATCTGTTATAACGATCCCTGAAATATAGTGATCAGTCTCGTAGTTTATTAGATATAATCGTGTAAAGTTTGCTTATCATTTTGGCATAAATTATGACCTAAATTTGGAAACCGCTGAATTTCTCGAATTGGGTCTTGCGATTTTGGTGAAACTCTGTTCAACGCAAGGCACTAATGCGCACTATGTGTAGCCGAGAGATTTTCATGAAAAAATGCCGGCAACAGCAGATTTTCGACTCAGACCTCAAAGGGGTGTGGCATTATAACCACGTGACATTTTCTCTGATCGCCAAAAATTTTATGTTATATTGTAGATTGATCTATATGTTATCCATTCTATGTTTTAGACTTACGATAAAAGTGAAGGTGGGGATACCAGAGAGCTTCAAAGTAGGATGGTACCCCACCAGAAAAAGCTTGGTCGAATCAAGTAAATAGTATCATGCCATTTAGTAGGCCAACATGGCTATTACTTATCTTGGTAACCGATAAAATCACAATAACTATAAAATTATCCTATTTATAGAGTAAACATTTTCCCAACAAACAGTTATGTACTACTTTAAGCATGAGCCATAATAAAATCTGGGCATCTCATGCACAATGTTCATCATACCTGAACTGCTGACATAAACTACTTCACAAACAATCCTGATGGACCCTGTACCATACTCTTTCTTACACATTTCCAAACCTTGGTCAGTTTTCAGTGACACGGGTTGTTTAGAACCCTTTCGCAACCAGAACAGGTTTTTTCTTGGAACATACAGAACAGCATCATTTTGGATGTTAATTAGCAGCTATATTATCTTGGAGAGATTTGCCTGTTTTTCAACATCATGGATTACTTCTGCAGTGCTGGATATCTTCCCACTCCCCTCTTCTACCTTCTGAACAAAAATGTTGTAGGTGTTCTTTACTAAACGGGGTGACCTTCAAGGAGTGCATACTGCAAGTCTATCTGAAAGTGTCAAAGAATTGCTATATTAGCAGTGGTTAGTCAACCCAGCTAGGTAAAAGGAAAATAATTCATTCAACAACCTTCAGTGTAACTGAGTTTCCCTGGTACATTTCACATTGAGACCTCAGAATACTCTATGTGCACACTGAAATGCCTTTCTCATCCCCCAGGTACATATAAACCCACTTGGGTAGCCCAGTTTTGGGGGGCACTGCATTTGCTGAGCCTTGATAGCCATCCCATTTTAAAACACACACCCTTTAGAGACTGAAGAAGACTGAAGGAGTAACCTTAGAGATTTTCTACAAGATGAGTTTAAATGAGTTAAACCAACTTTGAAATATTAAAATAATTATTCATTCCTGCCTCCAAGGGTTACATGGGGAATAAATCAAACAAAATAAATTATTTATTACTGATTTTCTGTTTTATTCCCCCAAGCCTTGCAGCCAAGTATGAATTTATTATATTCAAATTTTATTCCAAGTTAAGCAGCACTTTTCCTACTTCACAAGAATCAGGATGGCAACAGTAAATAGACCTTGTCACAGTTGCGAAGCCATGCATCTTGACGAGTTGGCAACCACGTGAGAAATAACAGTTTTTGTATGAGAATCTGATGTCCAATAATTGTTTTGTCAGTGGCGGGTAGATCAATAAATTATTTGCTGAGGTTGAAGGCTGAGGCAAATGATTGACCTGCGAGACACTGACAAATCATGATATTTTGTGATAACCGAGTTCAATAATTATAGTTCTATCAATTGATCATGGAGCTTGTTTTTTAGGAAAATCTTCGGGAAGTGAAAAGACATTTTCACGCAAGAGTGATCGCACGTGAGCTCTCGGTCACTGAAAAGAAAGAAAAATTTACATCGACTGATATTTCTGTGAAACGGCTGTTCTGAAAAAAATATGAATTGTAACCTAAAGCTACACAGCAAAGGATTCTACTAGCAAATTTTTGGGGCCGTAACTGTGCTCAAATTTCTCCAGACACTTGCCTTAGATTTTCCATATATTTGTTTGCAATTTTTCCTGAGAATTTTAGTCAGCAGGAAGAAACATTTTTACAGACAAGTGTATAAAAAGTGGTGTAAAGTGGTTCCAGCGCATGCAGCTGCATATAAGCAGGGAAGCTTTCATTTTACAATTCATATTTTTTTCAGAGCAGTCGTTTTACAGAAATTATTCGACATTACATTCTGATACAAACACTGTACGGTCATTTCTCATGCGGTTGCCATGACAGGGTCTATTCCAAGATTGTTAGTGGAGCATTCTCATTCTTAACAATTCATATAAGTCTGCTTTTACCAATACCTTAGTCAATGACAAAGAAAAAAATCGGACACTAAGCATTATAAAGTGCGAATTCAAACTAACGAGAGTGTTATTCTTATCAATCCCAAAAATATATAATTCGCATTGCTACTGGTTTACCTTTATCTCCCACATCGGCGGCTCAAATACATGATGCACTTCCCTGCCTTTTTTTTCCCACTTGGGTACTGAAAAGGGTATTCATGAATAAGGGCAGATATATCGCTGTCGTTATCAATCCGTACCACGTTCTTTCCTCTACAGCGTTTGTACCATAATTGTTTACGATACGTTCTCTTCCACCACTCTTTCTGTTGATATAATCCTGCATGCAACTCTTCGGCGTTTCGAAAGTCCATCTACATGGTAGAATAAATGGAGTCATTTCAGGGCCAGCCACTTCCCCCCTTTCACTTCCAAGAACAGAGATACTTCTCTCTAAACACAAAGAGAAAACATACAATCATCAATCACTTAGTCTTAGTCGAATGTTTTCTTCTAACCAACAAATGAAAGGTCTAAAGAATCCCCGTTGAATGACAGAGACTTAGCTGGTCCTCTTCACTGTCAACAATTTGAGTCTCCTATGTGTCAGGCAAATCAATATCAACGGAGACTTCTTCGTAATCCTGCGAAAAATCGTCAACAGGAGATTGTGATTGCAAAAAATCCACCATGCTGCACTGACCACGTGCCTGGTATTTGATAGCGACCTTCGTAAACCATCGGAATTCGGAAACTGCCGGAAATTTGATTGACGGCAGCGAAAAACGTAACTGTTGGTTGAAATTTTTGACTTCAGAGTTCGCATGATTCTGAAAAGCGCAGTAAGCAAATGGATTCGTTTCCATAGACATTGGATGCATTCAATTGGGACATCAGATTTCGGATTTGCAATCGAACACAAAATCCGAAAATGGACTTCAGCACCAAGAGATCTGTTCTTGGATTCCCTTTCTTTCGGTTTTTTCCTTTTGCATTCGATTGCAAAATCAATCATCGTTGATTTGTACAACTTTGCAAAAGGGTCCCTTTGAAGAGTAGTCAAGTTATCTGAAACATGTTAAGGATGTGGAAAACATGCCCGTGAGGTAGTAGAAATGTTTCCAATATTTTGATAATGACAAGGCTAGTGCAACTTAAGTGTCATTTAACTGATAATCTCTCGAGATTTGAAATTTGTCTCAACCACATGTTTGGTCAGGAATTACCCCCTGTAAATAGTTTCTTACACAATTCAAATTTAATGGTTCACTTGTAGTCGATTATCAGTGAATGGTAATATGGAAATTGTCGTAATGTTTATGGCAATTTTCTTTCCAAAAAATCCAAGATAGGTATCCTTAATTTCCCAGGCTTGTAGTCGTTGTTTGAATTATGTTTACAAGCTGGATACAAAAGCTACAGTTCATCTTTATAAATTCCTTGAGAAATCCATTTTGCTTCCTGGCCACGCATTTAGATGATTGGATGGTCGTTATTGCCTTGAGTATCCATCCTCTTAGTTGAAATGGTGTTCGATCATACAAATATTTGTAAGCGAGCTAGTTTATTGCTGTTTTACAGAACATGTAACATGTAAGGTTTAGCAGTTGTTATATGGAGGCCATGTTGAATTAGCTGATTTTGGTAATTATCACTCTATTTAAACAAAAACGATTGTTGTTCCCAGGGTCTCTGAGGTAAGGGCCTGGTGACTAGATTTGATGAGCAGTGACAGCGTGTACCATGACAGTTATGTCCTGTCCTGTGAACATGTTCTCTGAAGTAATGTGATATGCAAGCCAATCAGGTCATGCGATCTATCGTGGTAGTCATGGCATAGGAGTGGAAAAGAATCTCTGTTGCAGTTTGATCTTCGAGCAAAATTTCCAATTCTAGCGGGTTGGGGATGTCAGTAAAATTTGTCTTGCAAGTTTAAGTAAATATGGCTTGCAAAAGGCTGCGAAGAAGAGTGTATATTTAACGCTGTTTTGGCATTGCACAATGAGAACTTCAAAAAAAAAAAGACCGGCTGTGTGTCATTAAAGTTAAATGTCACGTTTTTACATGTTATAAAAGAGCCCATTGAGCAGTTTTTTTCGAGCTCTCATTTACGTAATGATCAGCTTAATTTTAGCCCATATTCAGTTAAGATAGCTAAGACTTGTTGGAGGGGACTAGGCAAATCGTTCTGTTTAAAATTTCTTTTCACCATCTACATCCCTATACAGATCATAAGCAACTCTGCATCCTATTAATACACTGTATTGTGAAGTTGAATGAAACGCACACTTACGAAAGTATACCTGATTGTTTCTTTTTATTATGCAAATCTGCAATGAGGGACAAAAGTGTTGACACACTTCCGTAAAATGGCCCCTTTTTGCATAGTGGATATACTTATCCCCTTCCCCTGTCTACCCCAACCCCTTCCCCCCAAAATCAATGTTGAATTTTGGACCCTCAAGTCTTTTTTTTACTTCAGACAACATTGACTTAGGGGGTGAGGGGATTTACAGCTTTTTAAAAGAATGAAATAATAAATGAATTAAATGTTTGTTAAAAGCACCCATTTTAAACAAGTGCGCCGACTACTTTTTCCCTGATTGTAGCATTCATAGACAGATATTTCAAGCATAATACGTGTAAGTTCGCTGTTTGTGTTGTATTCTTGATTACCACAGGAAAAAGTTAGTGGTTTTTTTTTAATATGACGAATTAACTGATGGCTAACTGTGAAATGGTTGTAAAATCACTAGTTTTCCTAGAAAGGAGTCTGACTTTCAGTGATTGACTGGTAGGGCACAGATTGAGTTATTGCAAAATGTGAATCATTTCTTAAAGTCCACAGTTTGCAATAACTCAAATCCTGGCCTGAAAAGCGAAGCCTTTGTAAAGTCTGCGATCTGGGAACCACATTTTGCACTGTAGCATAATACAGAATTTATTCAGGGGCACCCAACAAGAGTTTTCCATAAAATATCTGTTTGGGGAAGCAAATATGCCTCGAATTCTCTATCACTTGAGGACGACTAAAAATTTCAAGATAATCATTCCATTCATGTAAAATGTTTGGACGCTTATCTAACAAATTCCATACGATTTTCTGAAGTTTAATGTTTCCCATTTTACTACCCAGATTAGGCTATTTTTCTTACAACAAAGAAAACCTAAAATGTGATGGAGAAAGGAATCAGAAAAATTCTCACTTTTGTAATACGTCAAATTGCATCTAAAATTTTCCAGAAAGTAATACTGAAGGCCTTGTAGATCTAAAAGTTTTCTGGGTAGTCTCAAAAGTGTTTTCAATGTATTTAGGAGTACATAGATTTGCCAGGTGCCCCTGGTTATTGGAAGAACATGTAATGACTTATCTCAAAATGTGACTCGTTGAGTTCAACGTGGTTTGTAATATTTTTTTGGCACAAACCTTGGTTTTAAAACATAAAGCATAGATTGAGTTTAAGCTAAATACGTCGCCATTGTCAGACCACATTATGCTTTAGCACAAACCTTGGTCCCGGTCAAGGGCAACTTTTTTGACAAGAATGACTTCTGATGCGGGTCAAGTAAATTGAGTGGATGTGATTTGTGAGCTAAGAACAGAGAAGTTAAATGCCGTATTTTGCAATAACGCAAAGGGTGATATCGAAACATCACCATAGTTTGAAACGTCACAAACTAAGACCTCTGCAACAAGGGCTATCTTTTGAAACACGTTATTTCAAAATGTCTTTATCTTTTAAGAAAGGACATTTCTTATAAGTGCATGCAGTTGGTCAAACTCAGAAGGGTGGTTATGGTGGAGCCCATGCGGCCAGCAAAGCTCATTGAGAAATGGGGCAACAGAGATGTAGAGCGAGAGATAAAAAACAAAGGAGGCATGTTTTTGTTGGGAGAACATGACAATTTTGTAGTGGTGGTGAAAAAATGAGAAATGCTAGCGGCCACCAATGCAAGGTGCAAATGAGCGGCAGTAAAAAAAAAGTGACAGATAACACGTATGACATTCCCTTCATAAAACATGCCACTAAGACGTTTCTGGAAGTTTCACGTTGTACTAGTGCAAAACAACGGCAGAAAAATGTACAAAAAAACTGTGCTGCATGTGCAAAGTTGCTTTTTTCTTAATTCGACCTATTGTAATTTGTTTTTTTACCGTTCTCCCGTTTTGCCTTTGCTGCTTAGCATTACACGATTTTATATTTTGTTTGAACAAACTATAAATATTATCAAGAGCTTCCCTTTTAGCCCAGGCTAAATCTATATATTACCAAGGGAGGAGTACTTTCATTGGGTGTAGATGAGGTTGATAGGAAAATCTCCTTGTTTTAAAACACAGAAGGTTTAGTTAGCACTGCGATGGCGTTGATATTCTAAACTAAATAGCTAGGTGGATGAATTACCTGTCAATCATAACTTGGAAGTTTCTTCTTTTTTGGGCTAGTGTCATTCTCTGAATCCTGACTGCCAAACTGAAATTTTTGCTGGGTGATGCCGCTGGCCTTTCAGAACCCGTACCCCATTATTATACTGTCTATTCTGCAGACCGCATAGAAGCCATCTTTTCCCTTTTTTGGACAAATAAAATTTTCGTGATCACAATTTAGTCACTTTTTTTCTTATGCATTTACCTTATAAAGCCAACTTTTCAACTGTGAGTATTCTGCTGAATTCCTACTTAGCATTTTTTCACCTCAAAATCTCAAAAATGTGCGAAACTATCATAACATTCAACCTCATTATAGCTAATGGAGACGTGAAAATGAGACCTCGTCCACCAGCACCTCCCCATCTGCAAGTAAAGAAAACAGCAAAATACTATGTATATGTGATGTTTCGTGGGAAACATAATAAAAGATGATGCTATAATACTGATCTTTCCCCCCATCGAGTTTTCTGTTGAGGGTAGAGGGTGGCTGTGCACAGGTTACTGCCAAAAACAGCTAAAAACGTTCTTTTGTTGATTACTTCTGATGCATCTATGACCACAGGAATTACTTGCATTTTCAATGGCCATGCACAGTTGTTCAAACATAATTCTTAATATGGTGTTCATACGTAGTAAATTCCATCTTGATGCATTGATGGATGTCACGTTATCCGCGAGATATGACATTTTAATTAGTTACATTCAAGGACTGTTTTTCTTTCGTGATTGTAACATTGGTTTTTTTTTTATTGCATGATCATCGTATATCCGTTTTTTGGCTAGGCGTACAAAGCTTTATTCAGTTTTATTTCCTTTACGTCAGAAGGCATGCGTTAGATTATTCTTTTCCTAAGCACGTTTATTCAGTTGTAAGAAGTCCATCACAGTGTAAGGAGCTTTTGGAGAACTTTCGGAGTTATTACAACTGTAGGAGATTTGGAGTTC